TTGAAAAATCGTTTTACGGCCGAAAAGTTTGAAATACTTGAAGAATCCAGTTTGTCGAAAAACCGTTCATTTTCTAAAAGCTCAACGTATTTTCGATTTAGAGCTCTTTTCAGTTTTTAGACTGTATTTTTCGGATTGAGCATTAAAAACTGAATATAAAAACGATGTTGAATTGAATTCAAACTCAAAATTAGATTGAGCCTGGCTTTGGGAATGAGACCATTGAAAATAGTGCATGTCTCTCTTGTGAACCTATCTAGATTTTTGATGAAGAAATAATGTCATTTACTTGTTTTCTTTTTTAATGTTTGTTGCACTGCCAACGGCGCCAAAATGCAAGTAGATTATTTTTTTGAGTAACTCAAAAGGAATAAAAGACAGATACTTGCGATTTTCATCATTCGCTAGCCAACACCTGAAGCTATGTTTTTATAAGCAGAAACAACACTACGTCCCTTTAAGTTAGTTCATGCTGTTACACACATGTAACCAAACGTTCGCTTGTTTAATGTTTTATATACTGCTACTTTTTTGTATCTCAAGTTTTGGACTTTATCTATCTATACTCATCATCAAATAATATAAAAAGATTAAATAAGTGAAAGTTTTGCAAGTGAAATCATCAAGATAAATCTAAAGTGTGCTAAAGCACTTGTTTTCTATAAGCTCGATCTTCTCACTTTTTGTGAATTTTTAACTCGTCGGAATGCTCCACATAAATTCTAGTGAAATACCAAAGGCATAACGCAGAAATATCGAACTCATTTCTTTTAAGTAATAAAATAAAATAGTAACAACATGAAAATGATACAAAACATGTTTCCTGAATGCACAACTTCATTCTTAACTTTTTTAGTCATTTTACCTTTTAGTTGCGCATCAACTGAGAATGACGCAGAATGATGCTACATTAAAGTACGTAACGTTCACTAATTATATTTTATCTTTTTCTTTCTGTACGTTTCCGTAATCTTTTCTTAAAGCTTTTTAAAGAGTAAAACTGGAACAAATCGAAGGATCTAAAATTTCGAGAACCCTTCAGTGTTTTTTAAGGCTCGATCTCTCATTAAAAAATTCAAATTTTTTTCTTTTTCATTCTTCTAACTTGTCGAAAGTATTTATTTCAGATTCATCATTAAAAATTGAGTATGAGAATAATGATTGATCGAGATTAAGATCAAAGGTCTATCCAGTATGAGTGTCTTGGATTCTCCTTGTGAAAAGTTCATAAACAGTTTTACAAATCTATCTTGATTTTTTTTTTGAGAAGAGATGAAGCCAATGTCTTTTATTTCATTAGAACTACCATTAAACGAGCTTTAAAAGTATGCATCGCTCTTGTTGCTTTGTCACGGAGAGAATTCATATTTTCTAAATCAAGACTCATTCTTTGTAGAATAAAAGCATTATATTCGAAATCAGCGGTACAAACTGAATCGAATGGTGTATTTTGTTTGTCGAATTTGATTACTCTAAGTTTTTTAAATTTTCACGCAGAAAAATTATTGAGATTTTTACTAAAAAATGAAAATCTACGGAAAACTGTAAAATATATCTCATTCGGTTCAGTTTGTATGACTGATTCCGAATGTAATATTTTTATTGTACAAAGAATGAGTCCTGATGAAGAAAGTTGATTTCTGATTTTTTCGCTTCTAATTTAGAAAATATAAATTTTCTCAACGTGACAAAGCAAAATGGGAAAAAAGTGATCATACTTTTAAAGTTCGTTTAATTGTGGTTTTACAAAAAAAAAAACGAGATAGGTTTGCAGAATTGTTTATGAACTTTTCACGTTTAAGACACCCAGTTCTGAATGCGTCCATTATGGATGGATTTATAATCAAAAATAATATACAGAGCTCGTTTTTCTCTAACTACCCTGAATGTTTGAAGTCTGGATCACGCTTGCCCAAGGAGGAAAGTGGGTCACAAATTTTGCATGAAACCGAGATTTTCTCTCTGGAACGATTCGATATTTTTTGACAAAAATTTCAGAATAAATAGTTCATATGAAGATCCATCTCCACTGAAAATTTCGTTGAAAAATATATATGAATCGGGAGAAAAGTGGACTTAATTGATTTTTCATCAGGCTCAATCTCTGCAAAGCGATACCTATAACTCGGGAAGGAAACATTTTTAGACCACCATCTTTTGGCTATAAGCTAGTCTACATTAGTTCTGTATATGGTAAAAAATTGGTGACATCAAGTATAACTGTCGACTTTTCTCAGACAATGATTCTTAACGATTAATAAGCATGCCAATAGTATTGTTTTTATTTATGTCAACGAATGTCGACACTATTCGTTTTTATGTATTTTTTGTTGATTACTGAACAATGAAATAAACATCTTTGTAGAAGAGAATCTGAGTCTCTAGTCAACATGGATTTTGTAATGGTTGATATCCAAAAATGATTATTCCGTAATGAATTACCATATTATTATAATGGCAGCTCCAATATTTAAATAATAACTTAGTCCGTTGAAAGAATAGAAGGAAAGAAAATGACGACTGTAGTTGACAACCGCTAGAAAGAACATTATCTGTCTTTTTCTATACAAAGAACATGATAGAACAAAAGCTAATAACTGTCACAATATAGGTATGCATTACTATATTGCTAGAAAAAGTACAAGTATCTGTAATAACGAAAAAGATCATTTTAGTGGTAAACGTTTAGACAAAAATATTCAAAAGGCAAAAAATAGTTTAATGAATACTATTTGTTCAATGCGGTACAGTTCACAGTGATTGTGCTTCAATTTCATGGACAAGAATAGCCAGAGTGCAGGATTAAGAAAAATTTTCTAATTGATTAGCAAGTCTGTTCGTGTGAGGCCTGTAGTTCACAAAGATTGGACGAAGAAAATGGAAAATAAAGGATTTATTTGCAATAAAAAGGGCGCAAACGGTAATCGTTGTTCGATTTTAGTTGAAGAAAAGCGATCTGCCACAAATTACTAAATGTTTTCGATTTTATAGAGACAATCATTGAACTCAAGGCCAGATCAACACGTATTAACGATCAATAAGCATGTTAATAGTATTGGTTTTATTTATGTCAACAAACATCGACACTATTCGTTTTTTTGTATGTTTTGTTGATTACTGAACAATGAAATAAACATCTTTGTAGAAGAAAAACTGAGTCTCTGGCCATGCTTAGCGTTCATCATTTGCTTCTTCGGTAACTTGCAAAATTCTTTTATTTTGTATTTCTTGACTATCTAATTAAAAAGTGTGAAGGATATAGAGCGTTTGTCGTATTTGTTTGTTGTATTGGAAATCGTCATTGCTTACCATTTGCATGTTGATAGAATATATGTAACAAATTTAACCTTGACAAATGAGTCTTGCACAATCGTGAGTAACGAGATGTGTTGAGAAGTAAATGTTTTTTTCTTTTTCTTTTCTGCTCTACATACTTTCATTTAACATCGCGTTCTCTTCACCAGATCATATATAGTGAATCATTACACGCACTTATGCTTCATCACACATTATAAAAACGTATATATTGTCTCATACCACTGGAGGAATTATATATTCATGAGTCTAACAGAAAGTACGCGTATTTGACTGAAAAGTGATAGTTTCCCGTTTAAATTTCAGATAAAATCATAGTTTTTTCAATTCTGTTGTTACATAATGGGTGAAAATTCTCCTGTTGTTGCTCAGGCATCGAATGTCTATTTATTTAAAAATGGTTACGGTATGATTGTAAAGACATTCGAGTTGCCACCAAATAAAAATGACGGAAAGTGTTTGGAAATAGTCGATCCACCATTGGCACCTGTTCATGGCACATTTTGGATACAAACGACACCTAATGGTAAAGTTAATTTCTTTTTCTGCAACACAATCTATATTTATGATTCATGTTTCAGTTTCGGTGTATTCAATTAGTACGAAAAAGACACAAAAATCAGAGGATAAGAAGTGTGTCAACATCGAAGAATTGGTGGAGGCAAATATTGGAGAAAATGTTGAATTACTAACAACGGGTCTCGAATCAATCGGGACACCTCAATGGATAACTGGTACAATAAAATCTACTCAAAAATATGACGAAAACATGACAAAGACAACCAGCAGTGTATTTGGAAGAACAGCAGCAGTATCACCGCATGGTCATTTAGTATTTTTCGAAGGTCCTGGTGATCGAGGTCTTATGGCCGTGCCAATGTCTTATATTCTCTCTATTCGTTCACCTAATCTAAAAACAAATTATCAGCGGAAAATCGACACAAATTGTCTTTCCATTGACTACAAAAATGACACGGATACAAATGGTCACGGCTTAATGAAATATCTTACATTTGGTATTACATGGGCACCATCATACAAGTAAAGGAGCTAGCTACTAAAGCCTTTTCCGCTTTATCATCTCATTTTTTCTCTTGCTTAGCATCAATCTGATTACGTCATCTGACAACAGTGTTAAACTACTTCGTTTATCATCAAAATGTGTTGTGCTGAATGATATTGAAAATATCCAAATCGATCAATTGTCGTGCATCGTCGGGCATCCGAACATGTCGAAATTTGTCAGTGTAATCGATCCATTGATGGGTACACAAACGGTGCAACAATTTCTTGACCAATTGAGCGGATGCGAAACAAGTGTTGTTAGTCGAGCCGTTAATTACGCATCACAAATCACGTCTAATTCGATCATGACACAACAAGCATATTTTCCTCCAAGGATCCCAAAACCACAAAGGAGTATTAGTGATAACGAAGACGCGACGGATGGTGCTGATGTGGTTGCAGTAGATGATTTGCATTTGTATGAATTTAAAAATATTTTATTACAAGAGAAAGAGAGAATTTTATTACCGATATTTGATATTGAAGTACCGTATAAAGATGTTTATCATTGTAAAATTGATCCAAACCAACAACAATATCGATCATCCCCATCTATGAATTATGCTGATGAACAAAAACAAAATGCAGAAGTAAGTTGGTGAAATACAACATCGATCTTTCTCCTTTTAAAACAACAACCGAAGGATAGTGGCTCCTTTTCACACAACTAATGTTTTTTTATTTTGCATTGGAAGAACATAACACTTTAGCATCTTTGACTATCTGAGAAGGTGGATAGGTTCAACCAAAAACTTGAAAAAATACGAGATTTAGCGTTATAAAACAATAGGAACTCTCTTTCTATTATATAGCAATCTGAAATATTCACATTGAATAGTAAAGCAATATTTACAATCAGAGTCGAAATTATCGAGCAGTTCTACAATAGAAGAAGTTGAAACTTGTTACACTGGAGTAGAAACCACCGCTGGTTAAGATCGCCTTGAGCCGAAATGAATAACAAATTCATCACTTATACAGAAAACCAAATCGAGCCACCGATATTCAGCTACTTTTTCAAACTTTCTTCATCCTGAAACAATCGGTTAACATATTCTTCAAACGTCGCTGTCTAAACATTGAAACTCATTTCTTGCATGAAAACAAAATTTTTCTAAAGAGGGAACGTCTCAGATAATCAAAAGCATTTCTAAAACAACACAGTTCAGAAGTAATTTTGCTGATCCCGAATCACATAACCGTTTTGATGATTGAGGATGGAAGTGCAAAACCTAGATCTATGAGACTCCTGATGAATTTTCGGCTGCACATATTCTGATCCATCTATTAGGTAGAGTTCATGAGTTACCCACATGGATACGTTTCTGCTGCAGTTAACAGAGTGAATGAAATTTGTTGCCAGAGAAAACTGAAAAGTTTGGATTCCCTTGTTTGGTTAAAATGTAAGGATTTATAACTTAACTGTATTAAAATCTGTTTGGAAGTTTTGAAAGCGTTTTTACATAGATACGTCAATGAGCTCTACAAACTGGACATATCAGAATCTACGTGACTTTCAACAAGCTTTAGATTACTACGTTCAGTATTTCCTGCTCTTTCGAATGCAATTCACATTAGTATTGGATCCTACTATTGTTTCTGTATCGAACGTAAGACTGACGACGGAACGTTTAGAGGTGATAAACCGCTTTTCGACTCAAGTTATTTTTATCGTGTGGGTCATAGTAAACAGTGAAAAACCCAAGTTGATTTAGGCCCATGGTGGTCTAGAGTTGAGTTAAAAAATTTTCAAGTTTTTCCTCAAAAACTCAGTTTTGAAGATGAATCTTTGCTTTCGCGGCCAGAAGAAACCTGATTGAGCTGATATGTTCATTGTAGTTAGTCATCATAGTGGTCACAATGATATGAAAGTTTGAGCTCTACTACTCATCGGCACTTCTAAATATATAATTTTCAAAACTTTTTCTTGAAATATGGTCATCGACCTGGGCAACTACTCTGGGATGGACGCTCCGATCGAGCTAATATTGTGAGTGTGGACTTATCTTCTCCATGTCTGTATATGACAAAAGGTTGAGCTCGTTCGAACTTCTCTGATGGAAAATGGAAAGTATAAAATTTTCTCTATCTTGTGAAGAATGTTTATTTTCGTTGAGTAATTTTCTTTACTACAGTGTCACATTCTGTCATATCACGATGTTCCTGTTTAAACTTGAAACAAACATGGATCATTGTTGGAAATTGTCTAGGATATGCATTACTTCTTTGTCCCGCTCTCTTCGATATAAGTACAGAAGCGAGACACATAGTGCTGATATGGAATCTGTTTGAACTGATGTTTTGCGTTCGTTCAAATGTTTTCTGTTCCGAAATGGAGCTTTTTGGAAAAAATTTGAAAACTCTACAACTCCATTCCGAACTAAGTTGGGTTTTTTCACTGTTGACTATGTCCTACATGATGACAATAGTCTGAGTCGAAAAGTGGTCTGTCGCTTCGACCGATTCTCTCGTGAGTTGAACGCCGTTTTTTGCACTTGCAAAAGAATCCTAGTTTTCAATATTAAAGAGTGCTTTAATGTTTAAATAACTTTACTATTTCTGCAGCAGAATAGAATTTTGAAATCTATAGGCCGAGTTTTATGTTAGTAAGAAAAAAATTATTGAATCTGATCTCTCTAATCTTTTGGTTATAGGTTTGGCATAGTGTCGAGTTCGACAATAAATCCAATTATATATTAACAACAGCGCCTGTATTAATCACACGCGACGATCAGCAATTTATCGGTCAAGACACACTGACTTATACACTCAAAAATTCTTCAACGTTTGTCAATTTAACAAAAGCATTGGACATCCGGGTGACATTTGATGAAAAAGTAAACGGAGCTGCTAGTGGTAGTGGTAGTCGACTTTCAATGTTAAAAGTAAATTATATAAAGGAAATATTAGATGGTATCATCACCGTGATAAACTATAAATTTGAACCGGTAACTGTGGTCATTAAAATTCAACTTCACGGCCAGTTGTCAAACTTTTCATTGAAACCAAAGATCGATGCTGTTAAAAGTGGTCCAGTAATTGCAAATGCAATGCACGATTTAAGATGGGAAGTACAAGTTGATCCACAACAAACACTAGACATTAAATATTCAAGAACTTTTAATCGACGACAATAGAAACTGAATTATACTTCCTTTATTATGTATGTCGTCATAGAATTTTCATATAATAAATTATAGTTAATTTCAAATTTTTAAAGTCGAGTAATATAGTTAGATGAAGAGCACGTCTTGTCTCTTATTACATCATCGTGGAATGAAAAACATTCGCAGGGCAAAACCCGATGTATGCTAAAAATTCCCTTGAGAAGAACCCATCACTTAAGAAATACTTCTTTCTCTATGATAATGCTGAGTTGAATTACAATTTAATCATTGTTTATACATCAGGCCACTTTCACACACAAAACGATACTTGAAATCGACCAATCGCATTTTATTGCTCCAATATATCTGAAGTTCATTGGAACTAACTACTATCCGTTTCAAAACAGAATGTACTCGGTTGCTTTTTGAATAAGTCAGGAACGCTACTAGCTAGCAAGTTCGGGTCTCTGTCGTCAAATTGACGACATCTGGGACCATCCAGATATGTAGTGATCATCCGGCTTGTCAAGATCTTTGAGGGATTTTCAGAAGGTTTCCGAAAAACCACTCACGCGCGAGTTAGAAATTTTGATTGATTGGGGTAATCGACCATGCTATGTTGCCTGCGGTTTGAAGAACATGTTATGGTGACTTTAGATCGGTTTGGATAACGGTCCTGAGTTATCTAAAACCAACCGAGTACATTGTTTTTCGAAATGGATAGTAGCTATCTTTTCAAATTATTTTTACTCGTTTTGTGCGTTGATATATCTGAAGAAATCTGCTGGAAAAGAGACATACGAATGATATCATGACTATGATCGTAAAAAGAATTAATTGATATAAGTTAAGAGTGCTTTCTGAAAACTTTCATTGAAGTACATTACGATCCCTGACAAGCAGAGATGTAACCGGTACCGGCAACCGGCTCGGTCTAGTCAGAAGTTTTTGACCGGTTGAGAAAAAACCTTCTTTTCGTCTGAAAAAACAGTAAGGTGACGGCAATTCGAACTTCAAGTAAAAATGTTTTTCTGATTAATTCATACATGCTTTTTAACTTTTGAAAAATCGTTTTACGGCCGAAAAGTTTGAAATACTTGAAGAATCCAGTTTGTCGAAAAACCGTTCATTTTCTAAAAGCTCAACGTATTTTCGATTTAGAGCTCTTTTCAGTTTTTAGACTGTATATTTCGGATTGAGCATTAAAAACTGAATATAAAACGATGTTTAATTATATTCAAACTCAAAATTTGATTGAGCCTGGCTTTGGGAATCAGACCATTGAAAATAGTGCATGTCTCTCTTGTAAACCTATCTAGATTTTTGATGAAGAAATAATGCCATTTACTTGTTTTCTTTTTTAATGTTTATTGGCACTACCAACGGCGGCAAAGTCCGGTGGTTATTTTTTGAATAACTCAAAAGGAATAAAAGACAGATACTTGCGATTTTCATCATTCGCTAGCCAACACCTGAAGCTATGTTTTTATAAGCAAAAACAAATGTCGAAAAGTTTTCGAAGACCGATTTTTCAGGGGATCTGTAAAAAACCAGTTCGGTTCTCTCAAAACTGACATAGAAATCTATGGATCTTTTTCGCATCGAGTCGCGTTTTGAATCAAGAGCTTTGCATTACAGACAGCACTTTCTGAATAGCTTCTGGGAAGAAAAAACCGCTATTATCAAGAAACCGCTATGATGCTACTCTAATGAGAAAAATGACTACTTCACGAGGATTTTCTATCTCTTCTTAAAAACGCACAGGATGCAGAATTTGCATTTGCGGCAAATCGTTCTCTAGGAGAATTTGCATAATTTGCCGGAAACTAAAAAAATTCTTAAGTGATAAAACTGCCAAGTGGAAAATCCCCAAAGTAGGAAAGCAGGAAATCAGAAAAGCACGAAAGTAGGAACTTCTTTAATCGGAAGTGGGTACACATCTGCATCATGATGAGCACTGATTTTGAATTATGCCTTAGTTATTTAAAAATTCAACGATCTCTAAAAAACTTAAAATTTGGGGGTTTTGAGGTTGTTTGTTCTTTACCCGATGTACTTAGATGTCTAGCCTGAAACAAAACCATCTCGAGCTTGTAGCATATGAAATAGAGTGCCGCATGGTGAAGGGATTTTCTGAAAAACTTCTGAATGGTAAGAGAGAGAGAAAACGTTGTTCATTATGATTTTAGGTAGTCACCAGTTGTGAAAAAGTTGCATCAGAATCAAATGTAAGATAAAAAGGTTTTTTCCTGATTGGGAGTTGCCCTTAAAAAACCAGCCACTTTTGAAGTCGTTACGACTGTAGAAGCTAGAAGATCGGTATCTAGATCTGCTGGTATGGTTGTGCTGAGAGGAGTGCGGATTGAGGAGGGAGAACTTGAGAGTGTGTAACCTAACAATATTTAAGTCGGCCCCATTAAGCTTCCGATAGCAATAAGAAGATTTATTGGAGAATCGTACTGTCACAGCTAACGTACGCATATCGACAATTTTTCATTGGTAATGTGCCCGATTTTACGACGAGACCGTTGTTTTTCTCTCTCACTTTCAAGAATTACTGGGTAAATAAAACAATTTCTTTTGTCTTGATTTGTGTGGGATAAACCTTGTATTGGACGATGAATACATTTCATCGTAGTTGATGCCTTCGATACTTTTTTGCTACTAAAGAATTTCGGTTTAAACTCAAACTTTATTGCAAAATTTGTAACGCTTCCTTACTATAGTTTCAACTCGAGCAAATTGCTTTGTCAGTGTTTATCGAGAGATGAAGCAATTTGCTCGGGTTGAAAGTATAGCAGATTATTTGCATAATTCTCACACAAAGCCGCATAATTCTCGTACAGAGATGCAATAATTGGCAAAATTGACATATCGCAGTTTTTTTGCAACTCAGAAGGAACTTATGCTAGTTTCTTAGCAAAATTCTCGTTGCATGAACATAATTTTACTAGAAGCTATAGAAATGTGCCGTTGTGCTGTTGATCGTAATCATAATGAGTCGGCCATAAAGAATGGCAGTCTCAGTATTTCTTGAATATCTAGTTCAATTTTCATTCTCAAGGCTACAATATTTTTTTAGAAGAGTGCCTCAAAGTGTCGTCTTTCTTTTCATGTAGCAGAGGTTGGCTTTGAATTTGTTTTTCTGATACAAAAGGCAATTTTACGATAGTCTACTAGATTTTCACCTTTTCCCTTGTCAGTGGAAAAATGGAGCCATATCACCGATAAAAAAAAATTAAAGTTTGTTTAGAGTTAAAGAAAAGTGCTTTTCCGTATTCAGCACAATTGATAACCCAGAAAATTTTCTATTTCTAGCGAGGGGTACTGTCAAAAAGTTAAGAAAAATTTTCAAACAAATTGACGCAGAAAAATCCCCATGGTAAAATTAAACAATTTTGAAAATTTTTCTTAACTTTTTGACGGTACCCCTCGCTAAGAATAGAAAATTTTCCAGGTTATCAAGTGTGCTGAATACTAAAAAGCACTTTGCTTTAACTCTAAATGAACTTTAATTTTTTATCGGTGATATGTATCGAACTTTCTCTGTTCGGATATAACAAAAGAATTAGTTTTCTTTAAAATAAGCCATATCAGACCTGAAAATATTTGATTTTAGTCGATTTATAAAAATTTTCTCAAACGCCATCAAAAATCCAGTTTGAAAATGGTGGTTATCGATCTAAGCAAAACCTTCTCCTGCAAAAAATTGCGATTATGAGGAGCTTTAAGGATAGTCAGTTGATAGAGCTTGTCAAGGGCTACAAAAGGGTCATCTTCTCTTATTCTCGTAAAATACAACGGACTAGAACTAAAAAGATTGTGTTGTGAGTTTGAAAGCATGGAAATCGAAGCTTCGCAATAATTCACCTATATGCTTTTATTTCTACGGTATATAATAAAATGTTCAAGATGTTCTTTGTAGAACATGAAACGGTAAATCTTTTGAAAATATGCTGAAGCCTTGAAAATGAAAATTCAACAAGATATTTAAAAAAATACTAAGACCGCCATTCTTTATGGCCTATCCGTTACATTTAATCATAAAAAAGGTAAAAGATGTTCCTAAGTATAAATCTGTTCTGGCGGTTGCAGATTTAACGAAGTATAACACGGATTTATTTAAACATGCACGTCAGATATTAGGCAAAAAAAGCATTTAAACATTGAATGTCATATTTGGTATAATACAAAAGATTGAAGAGTATCTATTCGACACTTGGCCGATATTGGCAAAGCTAAAAATCCTGATTAATTACGGAGGTTGCCGTTCAAACCATTACATTTCTTTTCAAACGAATATTTTATTCCAAAGTCATCTTGACCTTGGCATGTGTGTAATTTACCACATTTTTCATTTTTTTTTCTATACTACTGTTTTTCTATACTAAAAATCAAAATTTCGATGTGTCTTCTATACGATGATTATATTCTCTACTTGTGTGTGACTATACGTACATGTGAGGGGAAAATTATGTTCTGATATTCCTTAGAAAAGGAAAAGAAAACAATAGGCGACATCAGTATCTCAATGATACGCCCCTACATATAAACACAAATAGTGTACTGGCAAAACTTGATCTTGATGTGACTTCTTCTCTCCTATTACTGAAGCTTGATCTAGTAGTTAATCACATTCCGTCTGTAAACCTATCCTGGTCGCAATAACAGATACGTGATTGAATGATAATTCCGATGATACTGTTCTTCAGAAAAGTGGATATCACATTTTCAGGAAAGATAGATCGAGCAGAGAAAGTACCTGTACGAATGTGATAACAGGCTCACTGAGGTATTTAAGTAATCAAGTGGCACTAGACAATGGGTGGGTGAAGAAGCAGCAAGTAATAGCTGTACATTCAAACAAACTTACTAGCTAAAGAAGGTGGAAAAGAAGCAATTGGCACTTTCTGACCAAAGAGTGTCAACAAGGAACTATGGCCAACCTCAAATTCAAAGTGTCAATAAAACGCAATACAAGAGTTCGGTTTAATTATGAGCGTCAAGAAAACTTGTATCATGTCCCTAAAGCAACTGAAAGAAAATTCGTCAAGAAGAATGATCAAAGATGAAGAAGCCGATAATGTTAAAATTGATATAGTCGTCAGAAGTCAAACAATCGACAGTCACAGGAAAAAGAAATAGAAACTAAGGTTATAAAAGCATCTATGGCACTCAACATGCTTCGAAATGCAATTTGGCATTGGAAAAGTATATCAATTGAATCAAAATTTCGTATATTTCGTGCATGTGTGCTATACGGAAGTGAAGTTTGATCTTTTGCTGTGGCTCAGGAGAACCGGTTAAAGACTTTTTATATGACCTGTCTGAGAACATTAACTGGTGTGACATTGAGAGATAGGATGTCGAATGACAGCGTGATGGACTTAACCGGGTAACCAGCTGTTGAAGACATTACTAGAAGAAATCGGTTTAGATGGTTCAGGCATGTAAATAGAATGGAAGACGCAAGTGGAAAGCCGAGATTTTTGAAACAGATAATGTTTTCTTACTTTCTCGATTGTCGAAGACCACTAAATGCTAGTGTAACGAAACGGTGAGAGGATAAAATTATGAATGATCTCACCAAACTTGGGATAAAAAATTGGCGAAGAGAAACCATGAATAAGGATAAGTGGCGTCAGAGTATCAGCAGACACACACAAGTTAAACCAGTATACCAAAACATTCAGAAAATTGTGTATGAATATAGAGAGGGAGCTAAGAAACGGCGAGCAGACGACCTAGCTCAATCAATTCAAGCTAAGAATCCCTCTCTCACCACTCAGATTACATCAGTAAACATAAACGTCTGTCCAAATTGTGACAGTGTGCAAAAATGAGCGAGGCATGGAAATTCATCGAAGAACATGCAAAGAGAAAATACAAGCTTTAAATATAGTAACAACAGTCTTAACACAAGCTAAAATAACGAACTTAGTTAGTAAAACCAAACGGAATAAATATGTATGTCCTAGTTGTAGAAAAGCATTTAAAATCCAAGGAATTTCCAGGCATGTAAAAACATGTGCCAAGGATTGGTGTAACAAAAGGGGAGTACTAGTTGGTTAGAAAGGAAACATCTAGAATTATTTTAAGAGATGGTAGAACAACAGAAGTAGGCTTGTCAAAAAAGCGGAGTTGTAATGGTTTGATAAAATGATGAGTGCGTCTGATGCCAGATCCGCTTGTGTTTTGGTGTTGGCACGCTGATGGTACATCTTATCATTAACGGCTTTTACGACGAACAAACTCGAAACAAACTGTTGGAACATTCTGCATTCTCTAGAATGCTCAAAATTTTATCCCCTTTTTTGTGTAGTCCCTTTTTTTTATCTTTGTGTTTTTACCGTTTCGATCTTCACCCTACACCGCTTCTCGGCAAGGGTATATTCTTCTTCTACAACAAAATGCTATTACTATGTCCAACTGGAAGTGTCACTGAGCAGCTATTGCCATTTTCTTGCTGAAAAGTGTCAGTAAGGAGTTATTGCCACTTTCTAGTTGAGAAAGACGAATAACCAACTATTGGCGCTTTTCGGCTGAAGAGAGTCAAGAAGGAGTGATTGACACTGTCTCGCTGAAGAAGGTAAATAATGCGTCGAAAACTCTAATACCTAAACTTCCGTCTTATATTCAGTCTGGCAATAATAAACATTTAAAATGCTTATCCGATCTTTGTTCATATTTCATCACAACTTAACGGATCCACAATCGAACAGACCTAGAGCGAATAAATCGACTGTTATAGATATTATCATCGTTTCTTGTGATTGTGCATGTCGAGGGCAAGCAATGTTGCAACCACTCGATAAGTTCGTCTTCTGTTGATGAGGATTGATTATTGTCGTCCTCCTTCCACGTATCATCTCGGCATACCACATTCAACGCTCGAAGATTAGTCATCGTGTTTATAAGATCAATGACATTTTTTCGATTATCGACTGTGATTGAAAGTACTTCACACTGAATGCCCAATGGTGAACGACTCAATTTAGCACATTGTTGACTATCGTAGCATCGATCAACATCTTGTAAATGAAGTCGACGAACCGACTTATTCGAATATTCAAACGGTGGCATCTGTGTAGACGATGATGGCCAGGAAGCGAATCTCAACGAATAGAGACAAGGTGCTCGATCGAGCAAGGCTTGCAACTGAGATTGGGAATCCAAATCATTATCACCATGATACGGTGCTACCTTGAGTGAGATCAATTGATCGAATCTTGGAACGACAGACCAAAAATTATCATCGACAGGAAGACAGAGGTCAAGATTCTGTAGGTTCGAGAAGCTAAAGTGAGACAATACTTGGTTGCTGAGTGGAATAAGCTCATAGCCTATGGTGTTTACATGATTGTACGATAGATAGTCATCATGGTGACGGCAAGTGGATTTCGACTTGAAGTCTGACTCGTGAAAATAATAATAGAGGAAGGCATAGGGGAGTGTATAGAGATGAATGTTGTTTTTGTCACATTGCTGACATCGATTCCAATCACACCGAATAAACCACTGACGTTCCTCAAGCCAAAATGGAGTCCGAAATGAGTCGAGTAGTTCATCGACTCGTTGTTCCTTGTTATCATTGTCATTAAGTCGAAATAACATTTTAAGTCGAAATACCGTGAGCTTCGGCAAATACTCAATAATGATTTGTTTCCATTGATGTCCATTTACATTAATATCATCAGTCTCGACTGTTAAGTAACGTAAATTAGGCATATTTTGCAAAAGATTTCTCATCGTCAATGGTGATTCATAAACCGAGAGCTTCAACTTAATCATTGATGGAACAGTAAACGACAGCGGTTGATCATCAGGATTGTCCCTGATCAGTACACAAAGAGATCGAAGACACGGTGTATTTCGCAAGAGACAAGCTAGGCCATTCAGTCCATAACAGTAAGACTCGATAGATAGATATTCAAGTGATGTGGAGATGCTCAAGGGAACAATAATATAAACTTCGTTTTCAAGAGAGACATCTAAATGGCAATGGGTAAGTTTAGGTAAACTCCAAATATTGTTAAGGGACCCGCGGATAGATGTGTAAGCATTTCGAAATGCACAGTCAGTAAAGTCAAGATGGGTGAGTTGATAAAGATGTTGACATTCATCCATCAGTTTATTCATTTCTACGGTAGAGCGAAGATGACATAATGAAAGTGATCGCAACTGAGTCAACTGGCGCAGAGGTAAACCATGAGAAAGGAAAGAATGAATTTGTTGTGGAGTTTCGTCGTCATCCGAAAGACGAAGTGAGAGAATGCGATCGACAATTGATGGAAGATAGCGCTGACACACAGTGTCAAAGTCTTGTTTGGATACGGATCGAAAGTCGAGACGATAAGCACGGAAGTGAACGAAGAGCAGAGTACTGAATCGAGTATTGAGACCGTGGAAAGCACGAAGAAGATGGACGACAGAAAAATATTCGAAGAGATCGAGAAACAGTTCGTCGGCCAACGATTCCAAACTCATCCTGTACTTGGAGTATAATTTTGAATAACCCGAGATAAGTTTTAATCTTGCTGCTTACTCATAATTCAATTTCACATCAAACGAAAGTATTTTTCTTTCTTGAAACTTCAAGCCCAAATTTTTGATTTCGTAAGAATGTGAAATAACGTCTATTTGATGATATTTGTCGAATATAAGACTCGTTCTTTTCTCTTACATCGACGAACTGCCAAAGAATAAAAAAGTACTGACGCTCTTTTTGCTTCCCACTACTCCATGTCACAGAACGCAAAAATAATTTACCTAAGGTGAAAAATGACTACTGAGTGCATATTTACTGATAAGAACGTACACCATGCAACAAGAGAACGTTTTACAAACGAAACACACCACAGTGGTAGACAAAGGATTTTACATATTATTCTGTGAAAACGATTGTTAATGAGCGTTGAGGGTGAGAACGTTGGAGACATCGCCTCTTCCCCACAGATTGTGGCAGATGGGGCGAAGGATTCTGCTGCGTCCTCACCGATAGGAAGTGTCGAGTATTGTTCATGATATGACAATAATTTGAATAAATAAACTTGTACATGTTTGACTCTACGAGCTACGAAATCTTTTGCTTGTAGATCAGCCAAATATGTACCAGGTCAAAATGATAAAATACTATATTCGAATAACATTTTTGTTGGCTTTCAAGTATAAAGTAGAAAATGTTCTTGAACGATTTTCTACACTCATGCTGGGACAATTTGAAACGTTGCCGCAGTAAATATACGGCTATTGTGTAATCTGCTTCTTCTGCAAGAAGAACTTGGTTTGTGAAGAAACCGATGATGTTTATAATCTTGGAAGGACTTCGCTGCACATACGAAAGTTAATCTGCTGTGAAGACGGCTTCCCTATACGAGAGAGCAGAATGGAATGATTGAAGAGAAGATACTTTAGTTTGCGAAAGGAGGGAGAGAAAGAAAGAGAGAGAGAGAGCGAGAAGATAGTTACAAACGTACAACAGTTAACTTCTATTGAAGTAGTTAAGAGCCTTATCTAATATTCAAGGGTATTGCTCTGGTTTTAATCTCACGCGCCGCATTTATCGCGATCCACTTATCAAGGATCAAAGATGATAAGTGAGTGCACAGTCTATATGATGGAGCTCACTGCGCAGACTACGAACATCATGATAAAGGGAAGGGTAAGATTAATAAAAAGGTGATAAAAATTGTTAGAGCTTGCTAAGACTTAGAGTAGGGATGTCATATGTTGCGTGAAAAAAAGTTAATTTTCAGTTTTTGTTTTCGAACAAAAGCAAATTTTTTTACAGTGCAGTTTTCTTTTTAAAAAAAAATATTTTGTCTACCAAAAAAAAGAAAAATCTTCGATTTTGTTGCGTTTCAAAAACAAAATTTCATCAAACAGAAGTGATTCCTCATTGTGAGATCACTTTGTTTCTTCTAAAAAGGAATCACCTATTCACCTTGTGTTCGTTGAAAAGAAGAAACTGAAAACTGATTGGCTTCAGACAAAAAATTGTTCCACCAAAACGTCGTTTTCATCAGGAAAAAAATCCGACATCTCTTGTCTCTGTGGTTGCAGCGTTGTTCATTACCTCTGCTTCTATCCACCCAAAGGGAGATAAGAGTTGTGATTAATTGCTGTCAGAGAGACAGACAATCGGTTTAATGAACTTTGGGTAAAACTTGTATTTCCTCTATTTTATGTGTGTTGATGGTCATTTATTAATGCATACAAAATTATTAACACAATCACAATCTTCACTCTCAACCATTGTTGATTATATTTGTCTGTCAGACGAGTTTTCCGAACTACTCTCGAAAGGTGTGCGTATCTACTAGATAAATATAATAAAAAAATAGCAGTTTATGTTAGGGTTCAGCACGTCAAAGCTACTGAATGTTACAAAATAGGCCTAAAAACAAGACCTGTATAGCCTACTTTTTATTTACTTCCGCCATAGAACTACAGCATTTTGTAAAAACTGTTTGTAGTACAGAAAAACTTACATATAAGAGTTCAATATGTTTAAGAGACATTTAATCATGTTCATATATTGCTGCCACTGCTGACATTAAGTGATTGCCACCAAATATCAAATCAAGTCAAGTCAAATTCATTTAGTCCATGATCTTAAAAACTGACAAGGCGGTGATAAAAAGTTTAACAAAAAACTTTGACCAAATCGCCCCACTACACAAAAAGAGAAATAAGAAAAAGATAGAAAAAAGGAAAAAGTTTAAACAAAAAGAAACGATATCGCTTAATATATACTAATGTAAATCTAACACATTTTTCTCCAGATATCTTCTGTTTTATTAAGAATAGTTTCACATGTTTCTTGACCTATATGAAAACGGTAATCGATTATACATTGAAGTGGTTGAAAACATGAGGCTTTTAAATAGTTTGTTAATGATGATAGTTTTTTTTAATTTAATTGCACATATAAATCTGATGCAATGACATTTCATAAATGAATCAATACCATATTCACAATCACTAGTGCTAGTGTTGTTATTATATGCAATTGTATAATTGTTGACCAAGTCACGACAAGTATAATATCTGACATAATATTGCACACGTTTAAGTTTCATACGTTAGTAATACGAAATACCTTATTCACAACTGATACACACATTAGGATGTTGTGTTTTAAATATGTCAGAGATAATATCTTATATATTCTAACTGTTCATTACCACTTTTGTCGTGTTGATTGTTGTTTATTTTTATTGAATTGATTGTAAGATCGATTTCGTAATGATCAACTATTTGTTTAATTAAATACGATAATCCTCTAATGAAAAATAAAATGTAGTGGGCAAAGTTGAGTAACGGATTGTTGTGATAAACTATAGTACATCAGATGCTTTTCGAATTATGTTGCTCGAAAAACATAAATATAAACTTTTATTAGTAGAGTCGTTGGTTATAAGAGCTATTGGTCCTGGATTGAACGGTACAAATGTATCAGTACCATTGCATGTTTATCCAGGCAGTGTCGAACGAAAAGTACTACCAGAACGTGTAACAGGCGTCGGTTAGGGATGCCGTCACATTGTTCACCGCTTTAAGCACTTTCTATATTTGATAGATTTATTCACAGAAGAGTGTAACATGTGTCCTTGGAAAACACATTTCATTTCTTTCTCCTTTTCAAAGTAATTATATTTTGACTCGAAAAGTCACTTTCTGTCTCAGTAAGATTCTAAAATATCTACGACTAAAATGGAATTAAAATTTTGCCCGCAACTGTCTCCTTTAGTATTTTTAAAAAGTAATGCGCGTTCCTCCACTTTTGTTTCTTGCAGATTTTTCATAAGCACGTTATATAAAATATACGTTAAAAAGTAAAACACATTTTTTCTTAACCGGCTCGACGAGCTCTCTTTCGAACCAAGATACACTAGTTGACAGGAAATTATTCATCGAAATTACTTGTCCTATAAGTGTGACGATATTCGAAAACAACTTGCGGTCGTGATATTACAGATCGCATACTCCCGATGGCAGTTCCAACCGCAGGATGTTGAATGTGGTTCGGGAATCTAGTCTTTGTACTTAAATGAAGCTTTCTTTTCACGCTGGTAACCTCTAAAAATATTTAAAATCTTGAAAATATTTTCTTCTTAGTTGTCTTCCTTTTAAAAACGTTATAAAACTTCTCAGGCAAAATGAAACTTCTTTCATGTGTAATATTGTTTTAAAATAAAGTAGCGCCTTATTAATGAAAAATGAAAATTTCAAAAGCAGGATGAGAGCTTCCCGCCTCAAGTTCTGCTAAGATCAAATGTCCATATAGACAACTAAAATCGGTTCAGAGTAATTCTTTTTTGTCGTAAAAGTCCAGTATGCACATGACGTCAAATAAGTCACGCTCATTTCTCAGAAAATTGAAACGCT